AACATGGTGGTACATTTTCACAAAGATGTCTGAGAGTCTTTCTCTGTTGTCTCTTTGGCAGATTGCAATCCCCTGGCAGAAATGAAACCTGATCAAAATCTGTTTCTCCAACTTGATTTCATCTTAGCCTCTGTGCTCTGTAACAGTGACAGATGGCCAGAAAAATGTTTCCCCACATACTTGAAGTAGAATAAATAGCAGGCTTCCATTAGCCTTTTCAACAACCCTGGAATCAGTGATATTATCCTCAATTAGGAACACAGATGCTGAATAAAGTGGTTTCAGATCAGATCTCAGATCTGGTTTCCTTGGTTGAGCAAACCTCCACAATCCTCCACACCAGGCCCCATGGATTACCTTTTTACTTATTCTTTGTTATTACTGTAAAATGCAGTCAAAATCAGTTGAGGAATTCTTACTGTGTTTTTTTGAGAAGCTAATAATACGCTATCCATCTTTTGTTGAATACTAAAAGTAAATTGGTAAATGAAAAAGCAAATATATATCATTATTACTGTTAGGGGAGGACAATCATGGTGGTCCAGCAAACCTACAGGTAATCTCGAGAGATTTTTTATTCTGATAGCCAAAGTTATATAATAAAAGGAAGTTTATCCTCTTGGTTATCTTCTATGCCCTACCTGGAAATATGAATGATCACTTTTCATCTGGATCTCACCTACTTTGGGGTAGGAAGACTGGTTCTCTTGGGTTTTGTAGTATGCCAAGAGGCTGGTGAGCATCCTCACTGAGATTAGTCTGTCGTCCTGGCTGGCTGGTGTTTACACTTGCACTTATTTCCAAGATAAGTCCATGTGGTTACTATCAGGATAAATTGGGCACAGGGTTCTCTCCTCCACAGAACTGCCCTGAAGAAGTCAGTGCTGTCATTTGCCAGATGACATTGTTACAAAATTCATAGAACTCTGCCAGATGACATTGTTACAAAATTCATAGAACTCAAAGTTAAGCTAAGCTGGTTACCAACTATAGGCCTATTGTTTTCAGGTGGTTGGTCTTGCCTTTACAAGCTTGATTTTGACTATTTTCATTGATAATTTTTTCCCCTGTTCTCAGTTCTCTATAGTATTAGAGAGACAAGGGATGAAAATCTATTCTTGGAGCTAGAGTGGGATATAATGGAAAGGCTTTCTGGGGAACATTAATTCAGTTTTAAACTCGTCCAGATTTCAGTTTGTAGACACCTGGGTGGAAAGGATAGAAATAGGCATACTAGGAATGGAGGATGATACATTGAAATAGAAAGAGATCTGTGTTTATGTTTCATTCAAAGTATGTTCCTCTTTTTTTTTTTTTTTTTTTTTCAGAGAGGAACATACTTGAAAAAGTCCCTATCACTTTCTTTTCTTAAAAATGGTTTTTATCATAAAGAAGAGTAGTTTGTCTTTGTGATTTTCAGCCTTTTCTCTCCTGCATGTTAAAGGAGTCCTTACTCCCATCTCTGACAGTGACTCACACTTACCATGTTTCCCAGTTGAGGCAGGGAAGTGGGGTCTTATCATAATTTGTGGGGAGGAAAGGAACAGACATACAGTTACAGTCTTCAAAACTGATTTCACATCTTCAAAAATTCTTTTTTTTTTTTTTTAAGATTTTATTTATTTGACAGAGACACGGCGAGAGAGGGAAAACAAGCAGGGAGAGGGGGAGAGGGAGAAGCAGGCTTTCTGCAGAGCAGGGAGCCCGATGCGGGGCTCGATCCCAGGACCCTGGGATCATGACCTGAGACAAAGGCAGATGCTTAACGGCTGAGGCACCCAGGCGCCCCACATTTTCAAAAATTCTTATCTTTAAGACTAATACTTCTGAAGGATGCCTCACCCCAATTTGTGAGCTGATATGGCTTCCCTGAATACTTAAGAGTAGAGGAAAGGTTGCTAGAAGGAAATAATTGTAATATCTTATTTAAATATAAAAGAGGCTTGAAAAAGAAAGCCTACCTGTACCTAATGATTACAAATCATGTTGAGTTCTGTTTTCTGCTTTCCTTTCCTTCCTGCAGGATTGTGTTTCCTCCAGGTTCCTAAGGGGCATGTACTATATCTTCCTTTAGTTTCAGTTGTTGTTCTTGTTTTATGTAGTGGAAGTGTTTAAGATGTTCTTTTTTCTATTTCACACCCCAGTCCTATTTCCTTGTAGATGGCCATTCCTTGAAGGAAAAGAGAAATTCTCTTTCCCTCTGTAGCAAGTTAGTTTTCAGAGGATAGGAGCCACTGTAGAAAGCGTGTCTTTTGGGTCCAGAGAATAAAATTGGCTCATACGCAGTAAATGTTGATTAAAAAATTTTTTTATGAATTAAAGTCAGTAAAAGTATGTGTAAGGGTATAGGATTTTATTTTACCCTGCTTAGAAGCTAATAATTAGCCTGCTGTAGTTCATGGACGCTGACAGAGCAGAAGAGACTCCTGGATCCGAGACCAAGGACTTTATTACTCATGGTCCAGCAAGTAGCATAAGCATATGTTTGCATTAGTTCCCCTTGCCCGCTTAAGTCCCATCGGAGTGACATGAATGGGCCCAGATGGATGCTTGCACATATGTTATAGGAATAGAACATTGAACTTGGGGAATCCATTGTTTTTATAGTAAGTGGTAAGCAAGCCTGCTGTATGTCCTAGGGTGGGGCACATTACTTCATCCCCCAAAGCTGATCTTTTCAAACACAGTCCTGAAAAGTGGCCTGGGTAAGGAGTGGTCAGGGTCATGCATTTTTGGCATACTCAGCAAGACACATAGGAGTATGAGAGACCCATGGAGGAGTAGCTCTCCCAACAGTAAGTACCTATAGTAGGGAATTTATAGAGATCTTAGAATTATTATGAAATATTTGCTGTACAAAAAGGTTTAGAGAGTAATATAATGAATAGCCATACAGTCACCTCCCAGCGTGACAAATAAGTATTATTCGTATAGTTGCAGCTTCCTGTGGACCCTTCCCCTTGTCTCACAGGTAAGCAGTTTCCTGAATTGTCATCATGCCAGTGCATTCCTATGAATCCCTTAATATCATATAGTATTTTGTTCCATGTTTATAAACTTCTAAAAATTTTTTTTACTATCATTTAAAAATTGTTAAAGAGCCTTTTTACATAGTAGCATTTTAGGCACTGTAGAAAAAAACTGTGAAGATAAAACTCTTGCATGTCACGATCTTATGGTCCGAGGAAAACCAAAACCACTAAAATATAGCTTAGTCATAGGAAAGGATATACGTGAAAAAATAAAAGTTGGTAAATAATATGTAACTCTAAAGTCAATTATTAGCATCTAATATATGTAAGGGCTAAGTATAGTTATGGATGGAGGGCAAAATACAATTCATTATTGGGGTGGAAAATGGTGACTCTGAGAGGCAGCAACAGTGAGAATTACAGGCATGAGATTTGTCATAGACAATTTGTCATACAGGAGAGAGGGATATGCTGTGAGGAACTGGCCTTAAATTGATCTAACCAAAAAGATGGGAGAAGGGAGCTGGGAGTAGGTAGCCAGCAGGATAGTTAGCTGAGAGGTATGTAGGTGTGTCAGGTGACCATTTTGATTAGGAGGGATGGCTAAGACTGAGCCTCTGACCTCACAGGGCTTCATATCTAATCACATAGGGTGGTTACATAGGAGAGAATTAGAAAATATCCCAAGACCCTCTGTGATTATGACTTAAATGTGTGTAACAGATTCCAGAGATGTAGAAGAAAAAAAGTTTCAGGTGAGTTGCAGCAGTGAGGGAAAGCGCCTCAGTGAGAAGTCTTGCATTGGGCCTTGAATGGCAGATTGTGGTAAGGATGCTTCAGGAAAAGGGGTGGCAAGAGCACATGAGCAGACTGGAGACACTAAGTGTGGAACAGTGCAAAGATTGACCTGTGGGAATTATGTCCAGGCCACTTGACCTATATAGTTTCCCATGGTCTGTATTTTGCTGGTTGCACGCTTATGGTGCAGTTCAGGAGTTTCCCTTTGTCCTCTGTATTTCCTACAAATTAGCAACTGGACCTAGTAGCATGATGCGATTCAGGCTTATTCCCTTTGGCAGTACTAGAGGTGGGGAGGGGGGTGTTCTTTGATCACATGAGTAAAGGTATGTGTAAGGGTCTGGGATTTCATTTGACCCTACTTAACAAGCCAACAATTAGCCTGTTACTGTTTCACATTCTAACTTCATAGAGCTCCCTCGTCTGTTTCAAGTAGTGTTAAAAAATATAACTTGCTTTCTGAAATATCCTGGTCTGTCCCCTGCCCCTCCCCACCCCCACTTTTGTTTGTACCATCTCTTTGTTTCTGTTTTCCCTATCTTGTTCAATTTGGATTCCTCTCTCAGCAGTTTCTTTTCAGCGTTGGTGCCCTGTCCTAGGAAGGAGCCTGGTTAGTTCCATGAGTTTTTAAGGCTAGACTGCTCCAGGTCCTTTAGGCCTCACTGGGGACCCCTTGCAGTGGACTCAACCCCACTAGTTTCAGTCTCTGCGATCAGATTGGCCCACATTGCTTTTCATTTAAAACTTGGTTATTTGGGGTTCTTCTGTTCTCTGGTCTGTCAGATGCCCTATTGCTTCCCTTTATGTTGATCTGCATAGCTGATTATAGTACTTGTGTCTCCTGGCCATTGGTGTTTTTCTCTCTTTATATGGGGGTTTATGAGGATGCTTCATCGTCTAGTTTTGTTACGGATGTTATCCATGGGCTTTTTGTGGTGTTATCTAGTTGCTCTGTTTTAATGTGGGGATTCAGAAATACCAAAGGCTATGTTGCCACTTCGATAGCCATTTGTCCAGAATCCCATCATAGGTGCTTGAGTAGAAAGGTGACACATCATGAGTAGAATGGTAGGTCTGACCTAACGTCTTACTTGGCATAGAGACAGTGTGGTCATTAGTCAATATTGGTTCTTTAACTTTCTCTTTTCTCCAAATTGAAAAGTGTTGGCTATAATGCTCATTTTGTGGATTTCCATGGAAATAATAGCTTCTTATCTTTACTCTTTTCAGGTTCACCAAGAATCTTTCCCCGGACAAAATCAATTTGAGCACCCTGAAAGGGGAGGGTCAGCTGACCAACCTGGAGCTGGATGAAGAGGTTCTACAGAATGTGCTGGAGCTGCCTACCTGGTTAGCCATTACTCGGGTCTACTGCAACAGGGCCTCCATCCGGGTGAGAATGGGGGTCAGAGTGCTGTTGTTGTCCTTGGCCAGCAGGCATGCTTTCTTGAGGGGCAGCTCCCACAGCCCTGAGTGTTGCTTTCCTCTTGCAGATCCAGTGGACAAAGTTGAAGACACACCCCATTTGCTTGGTAATGGCCTTTCTTGATTGCAAGTAATCAAATGGGATGGCTGGGGTGGGGTTTTAAAAGATCTGAGAGGAGATGGGGAGGAGTCCTGACAGGCTATCCCTTTTGGGAGTGGTGATTGCTCTGTCTGGCTTGTGAGCTTCTCTCTGAGACAGAGTGACTATTGTCTGGGCTTATTCTGAAATTACCGTGCGGTGTGGCAGTTAGCACTGAGACACAAGACACAGGAGTCCTGAGTTGGTTGTTTTGCCTTTGTTTTTTATAACAAATTTTGCTGCCCGGGTTCTACTTTTAGATTTCCTTTGGAATCCTGACAGAGAAAAAATTAGAAATTTAGTTCATGTCGACTATTGGGTGATTATCAGCTGAAAGCCCTTCAGGAACTCATCAGTGCTTATCTTTATCTGAAGATTGGAATCCCCAGGGATAGTAATACTTCTGTAACTTGGATTTATGTTTTAGTTTTCTGCTGTGAGTTAATCCCATGCTTGTCCTAGAGTTCTGCTGCTAATGGACATGGAAGAGGGAAGATGAGGCCTCTTCTTGCATTTCAGTTTGTTCATTCATTCAACAAACATTTATTGCCTGCCCCCTGTAGGCACAGCACTCAACTAGGCAGTAGAGCATAGGGATGAATAAGACTCAGTGTGTGCTGTGTAGGTTTTTGTGCAGATGCTTATTAGCTCTCCGTGGCTTTTATTTCAGTGTCTGGATAAGGTAGAGGTGGAGATGAAGACATGTGAGGAGCCTCGGCCCCCGAATGGGCAGTCTCCCATTGCCCTTGCTTCAGGACAGAGGTTGGTTCCGTAGGTCCCTATTATTTCCAACATGTTACCTGTTCTGTATCAACTTTTAGTGAAAAATAAACTTTTTATTATGGGAATTTTCCAACCTACACTAAAGTGGAGAGAATAGTGTAATCAACCCCTATGCAACTAAGATCTAACTTCCAACAGCTATCAACATTTTGCCATTCTATTTTCACCTTTTTCCTGCCACTGTGTGTGTTTGTGTGTATGTGTGTGTGTGCGCGTGCGCGCACACTGTCGTATTTGAAAGCAAATCCCAGACACCATATGATTCCATCTGTAAATACTTCTGGATACTGTGTCTTTAAGAGACAGGGATTGTGAAGAAAGAAAGAAAAAACACACAATACTATTATCACAATCAATAGAATTAATAGGAATTTGTTAATATTATTTAATACTTATTTCATATTCAGTTTTCCTGAATTGTCTCTAAAATATTTTTTCCAATACAGTGTGGCTCCAAAGAGCTCCACATATTACATTTAGGGATTTGCCTTTCAAGGCTCTTTAATTCTTTTCTTTTTTTTTTTTTTAGATTTTATTTATTTATTTGAGAGAGAGAATGAGAGACAGAGAGCACGAGAGGGAAGAGGGCAGAGGGAGAAGCAGACTCCCCGCCGAGCAGGGAGCCTGATGCGGGACTCGATCCCGGGACTCCAGGATCATGACCTGAGCCGAAGGCAGTCGCTTAACCAACTGAGCCACCCAGGCGCCCTTGTTTTTATTTTCTAAAAGATTTTATTTATTTATTTATTTGTTTGAAAGAGAGAAAGAAAGAGAGAGCATGAGCGGGGAGGGGCAGAGGGAGTGGGAAAGGGAGAAGCAGGCTCCCCACTGAGCGGGGAGCCCTACGCGGGGCTCGATCCCAGGACCCTGGGATCATGACCTGAGCCAAAGGCAGAGGCTTAACCGACTGAGCCACCCAGGCGCCCTTCAAGGCTCTTTAATTCTAAACAATCCCCCACCTCCACTCTTTAATAAACCATTTATTCTTTGTATAAACTAGATTGTTTTTTCTAAAGAATTTCCCACATTTTATATTTCGGCTGATTGTGTCCTCAAGGTTCTATTTTAAATGTTTCTCATTTAAACCGAGAGTAAGATTTAAAGGCTTGATTTGAGTAAATGTTTTTGTTTTTTGTTTTCTTGGTAAGAATGCTCTAGAAATTGTACCGTGTATTTCCTATTGTGACATATCAGGAGGGACAAAATGTTCCTTTGGTTAAGATTAATCAGTGGATTCAGATGATGATGGTCTGCTTTATCTGTTGTGATTAAGTTCCTTATCTATTTCACCTCATGGTGAAAGGACTGTTGATAACCATTTGATGATAGTTGTATAGATCTGTTATTTCATTGTAGGCTGCAAAACAGGGATTTTATAATTCTTTTCTTCCTATTGCGTTTACTAGCAATAATAGATTAGCAATAATCTCTAAGATTTTTTGTGGGTGTGAGGGGAGGATGAAGGAGGTTTATCATTTTGAATTCATGTTGTTTTTAACAACTTTATTAAAGTATAATTGATACAAAATAGACTACATATACAAAGTATACAATTTGATAAGTTTTAGCATATGCATACACCACGAAATCATCAACACAATCAAGACAATGAACATATCCATTAACCCTTAAACATATTGTTGTTCTCCTTTATATTCCTTCTCTTTCCTTTCTCACCCCTTCCTATTCCCAGACAAGCATGGCTTTCTGTGACTATAGATTAGTTTACATTTTCTATAATTTTATATAAATAAATCATATAGTATGTACTGATTTTTGTCTGGCTTCTTTTAGTCAGCATAATTATTTTGAGATTCATTCATGTTGTTGAGTGTATCAGTAGTTCATTTCTTTTATTACTGAGTAATATATTCCATTGTGTGGATAGATCACAATTTGTTTATCCATTCATTGTTAATTGAAACTTTATTTACAGTTTTTGGCTATTGTGAATAATGCTGCTATGAACATTCATGTACAAGTTTTTGTGTGGTCATGTGCTTTTATTTCTCTTGGGTAAATGCCTAGGAGTGGAATGGTCAGGTGGTACGGTAGGTAAGATTTAGCTTTTTAAGAAACTGCCAAACTTTTCCAGAGTGGTTTACTATTTTAGATTCTTTTTACATGTTTTTACATTGAAATTTTCTTACATCCTACACTTCCATTTACTTAAAAAAATGTTTGTTGTATTTCATACATTTATAATCATTATTTGTTTTGATATTCAGATGTCCTCATCTTTGGCTAGTGAGAGCCTTTCGAAGTCACCTCCTGTGTTTTTTGGAGAAGACCCCAATAATCTTTTTGCTTTTAGACAGAATAAGATGTTTCAGGCTTCTCATATACATCCTTACTTCAGACCTGGAATCTGACATTTCTCCAAGGAACCCTGATTCCTTTTAGTGAGAAATGTTATTTAGAGAGAACAGTCTGGGCAAAATTGTATTCATTGAGTTGTCATTTGAATTGAGACCTTAGTGTTCAGTTCTAGGGTAAAGGTATTTTTAAGAAAGAGAAAAATAAATCATGCCAATATGCTGATGTTTCTCAATTCAAATAAAAAGAGGATTTTAAAATAACTTTTTAGATTTAATGTTTGTATTTTTTGTTCATGTGCTGAACCTTGGTTCCTAACAACAATAATATAATAAATGATTTACTTTTTCAATTGTTTAAAAAAATAACAAAGCCAATATTATAACTATCAATAAGATTACTGAATACAGTAGATTTCTGTGTGTTCATGTGTTTTAACCTTATGATATATCCCACTAGGGAAGTATGGTCAAATGCTGTGTTTTAAAGTCACTTGAAGTCATTTTTTATATGGTTGGGATACCAATTTGACATATAGAGAAGTTCATTTTTTTTTTTAAGAGAAATTTTGCAGTTTTAGGTTCACAATAAAGTTAGAGGAAGGTACACAGATTTCCCATATCCCCTTGCCCCCACGCATGCATAGCCTTCTCCATTATCAACATCCCCTACCAGAGTAGTACATTTGTTACAGTGGTTAAACCTATATTGACACATCACAATCACCCAAAGTCCATAGGTCATATTAAGGTTCACTCTTGGTTTTGTACATTCTAGGGGTTGGGACAAATGTATAATGACATATATCCACCATTATGGTATCACAGTGTATTTTCACTGCCCTAAAAATTCTATGTGCTCCACTTATTTATCTCTATCCCTGCCCCCAACCCCTGAAACAACTGGTCTTTTTTCACTATCTCCATTGTTTTTCCTTTTCCAGAATGTCATATAGTTGGAATCATACAGTATGATTCCATCTTTTTATTTTTTAAAGGATTTTATTTATTTATTAGAGAGAGAGAGACAGAGAGAGTATGAGCAGGGGTAGCGGCAGAGAGAGGGAGAAGCAGACTCCCCACTGAGCAGGGAGCCTGATGTGGGGCTCAATCCCAGGATTCTGGGATCATGACCTGAGCCGAAGGCAGACACTTAACCAACTGAGACACCCAGATGCCCCCATCTTAACCATTTTTAAGTGTGCAGTTCAGTAGTGTTAACTGAACTCACATCCTGCAACAAATCTCTAGAGCTTTTTCATCTTCTGAAATTGGAACTTTGTATCCATTTGTATTGGTTTGCTATGACTACCATGACATAATACCATAGCCTGGGTGCCTAAATAGTTGAAATTTATTTTCTCATAGTTCTGGGGGCTTGAGGTCTATTATCAAGGTATCAGCAGGTCCTGAGGCCTCTCCTTGGCTTACAGATGCTGACTCCTGAGCATTTCCTCACATGGCCTTTTCTCTGTACCTGCTCATCCCTGGTGTTGCTTCCTTTTTTTCTTTTTAAGTATAGTTGATATACAATGTTTTATTGGTTTCAGGTGTACAATATAGTGATTTGATAGTTCTACACATTATGTAGTGCTCATAATGATAATTATAGTTATCATATATTATTGCAATATTATTGACTATATTCCCTGTGCTGTACTTTTCATCCTCATGACTGATTTATTTTATTACTTGAAGTATGTACCTCTTCATCACTTTTCCTATTTTGCCCACTCCTCCTACCCCTCTCCTCTGGCAACCACCAGTTTGTTCTCTGTATTTATGAATTTGTTTTTCTTTTGTTTGTTCATTTGTTTTGTGTTTTAGATTCCACATCTAAGTGAAATCATATGGTATTTGTCTTTCTTTGTCTGACTTGTTTTACTTAGCCTAATGCCTTCTAGGTTCACCCATGTTGTCACAAATGGCAAGATTTCATTCTTTTTTATAGCTGAGTAATTTTCCAGTGTGTGTGTGTGTGTGTGTAGCACATCTTTTTTTTTTTTTTTTTTTTAAAGATTTTATTTATTTGCGAGAGAGAAAGAGAGACAGAGAGCACAAGAGGGGGGAGGGTCAGAGGGAGAAGCAGACTCCCCGCTGAGCAGGGAGCCTGATGCGGGACTCGATCCCGGGACTCCAGGATCATGACCTGAGCCGAAGGCAGTCGCTTAACCAACTGAGCCACCCAGGCGCCCCTATAGCACATCTTCTTTATCCATTTATCTATTATGGACAATTGGGTTGCTTCCATATCTTGACTATTGTAAATAATGCTGCAATAAATAGGAATGCAGATACCTTCTTGAATTAGTGTTGTCATTTTCCTCAAGTAAATACCTAGAAGTAGAATTACTGGATTGTATGATACTTCTCTTTTTTAGTTTTTTGAGGAACCTCCATATTATTTTCCACAGTGACTACACCAAATTGCCATTCCCACCAACAGTGCACAAAGGTTTCCTTTTCTTTTTTTTTTTTAAAGATTTTATTTATTTATTCATGAGAGATAGAGAGAGAGAGGCAGAGGCAGAGGGAGAAGCAGGCTCCCCACGGAGCAGGGAGCCCGATGCGGAACTCGATCCCAGGACCCTGGGATCATGACCTGAGCTGAAGGCAGACGCTTAACCAACTGAGCCACCCAGGCGTCCCCAAAGGTTTCCTTTTCTTCACATCCTTGCCAACAGTTGTTTCTTGTTGCTTTGATACTAGCCATTTTGACAGATGTGAGGTGATATCTCATTGTGGTTTTCATTTGCATTTCCCTGATGATGAGTGATGTTGAGCATCACTATCACTCTTAATGTTGCTTTTTTGTTGAACAGAAATGATTAATTCTAATGTAGTCCAGTATACCTTTTTTTCCCCTTTATGCTTAGCCCTTTTTGAGTCCTGTTTAAGGGCTCTTTTCCTGTCCTAAACCATGAAGATATTCTTTTTTGTTTTCTTCTAAAAGTTTTATTGTTTGACCTTACACATTTAGATACAGACTTAAAACTGATTATTTTGTTTGTTTGTTTGATGTAAAATAGGAGTTAATACTATTTTTTCCCGGTCAATATCTTCAAATTGACCATGCACTGTTATTGAAATACCATCTTTTCCCTACTACTCTGTCACCTCTATTATAAATTAAGTGTCTCTGGGTATAATTGTGATTTATGAGTGAGGTTGAACATTTTTATGTTTAATATCATTTGCACTTCTCTGTGAACTGTCCATACTTTGTCCTGTTTTTATTGGCCTGTAGGTCTTTTTCTTTTCAGTTTCTTTTTTTTTTTTTTTAAGAATTTATTTATTTATTTGACAGAGAGAGACACAGCGAGAGAGGGAACACAAGCAGGGGGAGTGGGAGAGGGAGAAGCAGGCTTCCCGCGGAGCAGGGAGCCCGATGCGGGGCTCGATCCCAGGACCCTGGGATCATGACCTGAGCCCAAGGCAGACGCTTAACGACTGAGCCACCCAGGCGCCCCTTCTTTTCAGTTTCTTGAAGCTCTTTATACATTAGAGATGTTAGCCCTTTATGATATAGATTGCAAATATATTTTTTGCAAAAAAATAGATTGCAAATTAATAATTTCCACACCTTTTTATCTCTTGTAATGAGAACTGATTTCATTTACATGTCAAGAATGTCTTTGTTTTCAGGGCGCCTGGGTGGCTTAGTCTGTTAAGTGGCTGCCTTCGGCTCAGGTCATGATCCCAGGGTCCTGGGATCGAGCCCCACATCGGGCTCCCTGCTTGGCGGAGAGCCTGCTTCTCCCTCTCCGTCTGCCGCTCTGCCTACTTGTGCTCTCTCTCTCTCTGCTAAATAAATAAATAAAAATCCTAAAAAAAAAAAAGAATGTCTGTGTTTTCTACATCCAGAAGGACTTTAAGGTGGCCTTCAATTCTCTCCTTGCCATTTCTGACCTCTCACTGTGGAAGTACAGCTATGCTCTTTGGGATATATTTGACAGGGTAGAGAGTTGGAATTGTTCTTGACCTCTTGCTCACTTGGCTGTACTTCTTTCCTCTTTCCACTACCTTTGCAGAGTATGCTGTGTCTTTGAAGATTTTATAGAAACCTAGCATTTCCTTTCTTTAGTTATACCTTCCCTCATGTACAACATTCAAATTTACGTAGTTTGTGGATTATAAAAATATTTTTCAAATTATTCTTTCTAACAGAAGGGAGATTATTTCTAGGTCAACTCTTTTTCTTTTATTTTGTTCCTCAAAAAATCCAATTAAAAAGAGTACTGCATCATAAAAAATTTTCAAAATTTAAAAACTATAAGTAGAAATAGGAAGAGAGAAATAAGGAAATCATTCATAGTTCTAGCACCCAAAGAGAGACAGTGTTAATAATCTTGTCTGATGTCTTCCAGTATAAAGAGTGTGCACAAAGTTTCACCTGCTTCTGAACATTGCTCTGCCTCATTTGTTGTAGTGAGTATGGCTTTGCCGAGAAGGTGGTGGAGGGGATGTTCATCGTCGTCAATTCCATCACCATCAAGATTCACTCCAAGGCCTTCCACGCTTCTTTTGAATTGTGGCAGCTCCAGGGCTACAGCGTCAACCCCAACTGGCAGCAGAGTGACCTCCGCCTCACCCGCATCACTGACCCCCACCGAGGAGAGGTGACAGCCCCAGTATTGCAAGAGGAGAGAATGGGGAGATTCAAAATAGGACTGATTTTTAAAGGATATTATTCCTGCTTTGGGGATTTTCTCAGATACGTCACCCATTCCTGTGAACCCAAGAATCCCAGTGTTATTGCTACATGCTTTCTTCTCTTAGGGATCTCTGATTCACCGCATTCTATTGGTAGGATCCCAACTGAGAATGGTGGGAGTTTCTGTTTTGCTCGTCTTTTCCCCTTGGACTTCCTGCCTCTTGGTTAATTTCATCCATAGAATTAAGGGATTTTACTTTCTCTCCTTCTAGGTTTTAACATTTAAGGAAATAACTTGGCAAACACTTCGAATTGAGGCAGATGCTACAGACAATGGTGATCAGGACCCAGTCACCACTCCACTGAGGCTTATTACCAACCAAGGCAGGATCCAGATAGCCCTCAAGAGAAGAGTGAGTATGTTCTCTGCCCTAGTGAAAACTTGCATCTTTTATTCTCCTAGACAGCCTGGAGTTGTTGTTGTCTGTTTTTTGAATGTTACTGGCCCAGGAATGACAATCAAAAGGGGCAGGCCTGTAATTCAGTGTTGCACAGAACATTGCTGTGAACATTTGCCCCTCCTTGTCACCTGAGTTTTGGAAACCACGGTTTTTACCCATATAGGAACACTGACATAGGCACCTGGCCGTTGACTGCTGTTGTTTCTTGTTAATCGCAGAAGACTTTAGTAGTTTTGTAAGAAATGGACTCTCCATAGTGTTTGCTGCTTCCCTTTCATGTTCTGAAAAGCCCTCTCTGAAATTAATCAAGTGATAGTCCCGTTGAGGAGTTGGAATGATAGCAGATGTTGAACCCCATGTTTTATATGGCCCCTTCAGACCAAAGATTGCAATGTGGTAGCCTCCAAGCTGATGTTCCTGTTGGATGACCTGCTCTGGGTGCTAACTGACTCGCAGCTCAAGGCTATGATGAAGTATGCAGAGTCACTGAGTGAGGCAATGGAGAAGTCAGCCCAGCAGAGAAAGAGCCTGGCCCCTGAGCCTGTACAGGTTAGAGGCAAAACAGATACCCTGGGTGGGGCTAGGGAGATGGAGGGCCAGACCTAATTCATACCAACATAGGTGGGGTCTAGACTTCATTAGGCTTATCTGGGACATTTGTCATTTGCATAGGCTTTGTTTGTGCTTCTAATTTATTCATTTATTCTCTTCATTGGGTGCCTCCTGTGTGTTAGCTATATAGTACTAGCCACTGGGAAGGAAAAGTAAAATAAGCCTCTTGTTCCTGTCGTTGGAGCTCTGACTGTCTTTAAATATGGACTATAAACAAGTTATTATAATAGGAAGTGGTAAGTGCTGTATATAGGTAGACACTATGCCATGAGAATACAAAGAAGAGGCATCTAACTACACAGGCTGAAAGACGGCATTTAAGAAAGACTTTCTGGAGGCAGTGTTTTAGCATCAGTCAGCTAAGTCCTGGGGGGTGAGAGCTTGGGGGGCACTTCAAACCTCAGAACAGTACTCTGACTGGAGTTACAAGACTAATTACAATTAGGCTTTTTGGAGTGTGGGTTATTTAGGTGAGACAGACCTAAGTGAGCTACCAGGTGAACAGTTAGTTATGAGAGGGGGGGGGCATCTTGCTAAATTGTGGCTTTCTTCAGACTGAGCTAAAGCTTAAGAAAGCCTGTGAGGAGCCTCTCTGGGTTTGGACGTCTTGTTTTTCTCCCTGTCACGTATAGATCACCCCACCTGCTCCCAGTGCCCAGCAGTCCTGGGCCCAGGCGTTCGGGGGCGGCCAGGGCAGCAGCAGCAGCAGTCGCCTCAGCCAGTACTTTGAGAGATTTGATGTGAAGGAGTCCTCCTACCATCTGCTCATCTCCCGTCTGGACCTGCACGTTTGCGATGATAGCCAGTCCCGAGAGCCAGGTACTCTGTTAGGCCTGAGCCTGGGCTGGGTGGTCCGTCAGTACCTTCAGCTCTTTTCAAGATGCTGTGGGTTGGCTTCCCTTAATCCCAGGCATTCCTTGGGCCTCAGTCTCCGGTGGTGTCTCTTGCTCTGTTGGTGGGAAGTAGTGCTTTTAGCCTTTAGGGTGCAGCGGGACCACCGGCAATACGTAGTAAAATACAGAGGCCAGCGCTCTCCCAGGCCTCACTAAGAGAGAATCTTCAGGGGCAGAGCTCCAGCAGAGTGTACTTTTTTCCTCCCCAACATATCTTGGGCAATGCTGATTACTGGTATAACTTTTAGGAAAGTAAATTCAAGTATAGGAAACTCCAGGATTTTCAGATTTTTGAGTCAATTTAAATATTTTTTATGTGTAAATGCCCTCTTCCCAAGCAGAGAGGTTGTGTTGTATTCTCATTATGCTTTTCATTCATTAGGACAGTTAGTATTACATACACATATATGTTTATTCAAAATGAAAAAGGAATTGACTCATTTTTTCCCTTCATGAGCCTTGGGGAAATCACTTAGCCTCTTGCTTAAGCTCTCTGAGTTTCTTCATTTGTGATCTTGAGTTAAATCATATATGACTCCTTTACCACATTGGTTGTTGTCACGCTCCACTGAAATGATATACTGAATCTGGAGGACCTTAATTATAGGCACATACTCAGTATTACTATCCCTCTGCTGCCTGTTCCTTTAATACCCTATCTACATTTCCTTTATGGTCCCCTTTGCACCACCTCTTGGCTTGAGATGCTCTCATATAGTAGATTTTTCTCATGCTGCCTTATCCTTTCTGAAGGTTATGTCTGCCTCTTAATGACACCTAGACTGTTTCCTCAGGGGAACTTACCTTTTCTTCCTGGGGCTCCAAGCAGCATTGTCTCTCTTGCTTTGCTATTCTTTGGTGTTGAAGTGACTTCAGACCCCATCTACTCCTACTCTGAGACAGCTAAAAGGAGCCATGACAACATAAAGATTGCTTTTGCGACCATAAGAAATAAATTGCTCACTGGTTTGCCACCCACTTATTTTGGAAGTTCTTTCCTAAAACGATTATTATTTTGTTTGGTTGTTTCTTCCAAGTGTTACTCTAAATGCTTTGGGTTTTTTCTCTTGTTTTGTCTTGAATCCTTTCAGAGGTCTTTATTTAAGAGTCTATTATTGAGAGTTTCATCCTCTTGCTTGATGAGGGGTATTTAGCACTGTCCTCTTCATATGGCCAGGACCCATAATCCACACTAAGATATGAATGACTAGCCTCCTCTGCAGCCCTCATGTATTTATTTTTATTTATTTATTTTTTTAAAGATTTTTATTTTATTTATTTGAGAGAGAGAATGAGAGAGAGAGAGAGAGAGCATGAGAGCGGGGAGGGTCAGAGGGAGAAGCAGACCCCCCGCCGAGCAGGGAGCCCGATGCGGGACTCGATCCCGGGACTCCAGGATCATGACCTGAGCCGAAGGCAGTTGCTTAACCAACTGAGCCACCCAGCTGCCCGCCCTCATGTATTTATTTATTAAACTAAATTAAACTACAAATCTGGAATTTAGGGAATTTTTGGATGAGATATTTTTAGATACAGGGATAACTCCCAACCTGCCTTACCCAGGTGTGGTGTATGACTCTGTTAAGGAGCAAGGAACAGAACAAGTTCTTGTGAATTTGACTCTTCTCCTGGGATCTGGGGAGAAAAGGGAAGGGAGAACTAGTGGTACAGAAAGGGCTATACGATTCTCTGGAGTTGTTCTAATATGTAGCCACATATAACTACTGTTGGCTGATCCAAATTGAGATGGGCTGCAAATATAATATATGCATGGGATTTTGAAGATACAGTAGAAAACAAGGGTGTAGAATACCTTGATAATTATTTTCATATAGAGTGTATGTGGAAATTGATAAAATATTGATTATATTCATTTAAGTAGTAGGTATTGTTAAAATTAATTTCACCTTTTTAAAAAACTTTTTTTCATATGGCTACTAGAAAATTTAAAATTACTTATGTGGCTCACATTATATTTCTAATAGATAGCATTGCTCTGGAGCTGTGTGTCCAGTATGGTAGCCAATAGCCACATGTGGCTGTTAAAATTAAGTAAACTAAAAAATTCAGTTCCTCATTTGCACCAGTCACATTTCAAGTACTCAGTACAATCTACAGACCATAAAAGATTTTCATCATCACAGAAAGTTCTTTTGGACTCTAGAGGGTCCTTAAAGGCTATATTTACATTTTATTTATTTATTTATTTATTTAAAGAATTTATTTATTTATTTGACAGAGAGAGACACAGCGAGAGAGGGAACACAAGCAGGGGGAGTGGGAGAGGGAGAAGCAGGCTTCCCGCCGAGCAGGGAGCCCGATGCGGGGCTCGATCCCAGGACCCTGGGACCACGACCCGAGCCAAAGGCAGACGCTTAATGACTGAGCCACCCAGGCACCCCTACATTTACATTTTAGATTTAGCTAGCTGGACTCAGTTTAGATGATTCCAGTTTTGTTGGCAACATCCAAAGCCTCATAGTCAGGAGCCAGTCGAACATATGCCTTCTCTCCATCAGGCCTGATCAAGGTGTTGACTTTTGCCACGTCAGTGTCCTAGAGCTTCTTCACAGCCTGTTTGATCTGGTGCTTGTTGGCCTTGACATCCACAATGAACACAAGTGTGTTGTCTTCTGTTTTCTTCATGGTTGACTCAATGGTCAGGGGGAACTTGGTGATGGCATAGTGATCAAGCTTGTTTCTCCTGGGGGCACTCTTTTGAGGATATTTAGGGTGCCTTCGGAGATGCAGTGTCTTGGGTTGTCGGAATTTCGGTGACGTGTGGATCTTCTTTTTTTTTTGTGACTGTGGATGCCTTTCAAAAGGCCTTCGAAACCTTGGCTTTGGCTTTGGCTTTGGGAGAAGCAGGGGCTTCCTTCTTTGCCTTTGGCGCCATCTTCGTGGAAGGGATTTACCTGCTTTTTCATTAAGGGACACCATAGCCTGGGATGTTGAGCCCTTGAGTAACATGCTTACCTTTCCCTTGGTATTGGAGGTGAAATTATTGGAAACTGGGTGGGTCCTCGGGGACAGCTTGGCTTGAGGTGGGGCAGCACTATCTCTTAAAATAAAATTGGAACAGTGTATATTCCAGCCTTCAGAGAAGAGGTTAGTAGTTGATGGGGAAGAGTGTCACCTGCCTCTTTTTAATTCTTTTTCCTTAGAATGAGGCCTGTGAGCCAAAAACTTTCTTTATCACTCTTAAGGCCATGCTGTCCTCATCCCACCAGCTTACTAGAGAATTTTAATTAGTCATTTATGGACACTATTTACCATTTATGTCTCTTGTATGATTATGTGTTTATAATTAAATATGTTGGTAATTGGTAATTCTATTTGATTTTGATTTTAATTCTAGACCCTATTTTAATATGCTCAGTCTATGTAGTTTATTGTTCTTTTACATCTAAATAATTCCAATGGAGGGAGCATTGCTGTGAAACCGTCTACCTCCAGTAGCCTCAGTTATGCATTTTTTAAAAAATTTTTTTATTCTTATGTTAATCCCCATACATTACATCATTAGTTTTAGATGTAGTGTTCCATGATTCATTGTTTGTGCATAACACCCAGTGCTCCATGCAGAATGTGCCCTCCTCAATACCCATCACCAGGCTAACCCATCCTCCCACCCCCCCCTCCCCTATAGAACCCTCAGTTTGTTTTTCAGAGTCCATCGTCTCTCATGGTTCGTCTACCCCTCTGATTTACCCCCCTTCATTCTTCCCCTCCTACTACCTTCTTCTTCTTTTTTTTTTCTTAACATATATTGCATTATTTGTTTCAGAGGTACAGATCTGAGATTCAACAGTCTTGCACAATTCACAGCACTTACCAGAGCACACACCCTCCCCAGTGTCTATCACCCAGTCACCCCATCCCTCCCACCCCACCCCCCACTCGAGCAACCCTCAGTTTGTTTCCTGCGATTAAGAATTCCTCATATCAGTGAGGTCATATGATACATGTCTTTCTCTGTTTGACTTATTTCGCTCAACATAAGACCCTGCAGTTCCATCCATGTCGTTGCAAAGGGCAAGATCTCATTCCTTTTGATGGCTGCATGATATTCCATGGTATATATATACAACATCTTCTTTATCCATTCATCTGTCGATGGACATCTTGGCTCTTTCCACAGTTTGGCTATTGTGGACATTGCTGCTATAAACATCGGGGTGCACGTACCCTTTTGGATCCCTACTTTTGTATCTTTGGGGTAAATACCCAGTAGTGCAATTGCTGGATCATAAGGTAGCTCTATTTTCAACTGTTTGAGGAACCTCCATACTGTTTTCCAGAGTGGCTGCACCAGCTTGCATTCCCACCAACAGTGTAGGAGGGTTCCCCTTTCTCCGCATCCCCGCCAACATCTGTCGTTTCCTGACTTGTTAATTTTAGTCATTCTGACTGGTGTGAGGTGGTATCTCATTGAGGTTTTGATTTGGATTTCCCTGATGCCGAGCGATATTGAGCACTTTTTCATGTGTCTGTTGGCCATTTGGATGTCTTCTTTGGAAAAAGGTCTGTTCGTGTCTTCTGCCCATTTCTTGATTGGATTCATTGTTCTTTGGGTGTTGAGTTTGATGAGTTCTTTATAGATTTTGGATACTAGCCCTTTATCTATTTATGTCATTTGCAAATATCTTCTCCCATTCTGTCAGTTGTCTTTTGGTTTTGTTGACTGTTTTCTTTGCTTTGCAAAAGCTTTTTGTCTTGATGAAGTCCCAATAGTTCATTTTTGCCCTTGCTTCCCTTGCCTTTGGTGATGTTTCTAGGAAGAAGTTGCTGCGGCTGAGGTCGAAGAGGTTGCTGCCGGTGTTCTCCTTTAGGATTTTGATGGACTCCTGTCTCACATTGAGGTCTTTCAACCATTTGGAGTCTATTTTTGTGTGTGGTGTAAGGAAATGGTCCAGTTTCATTCTT